TTAGCAATCGTATGGGCAACAAAATATTTTCGATCTTATCTTTTTGGTAGAAAATTCACAATCTTGTCAGATCACAAACCTCTACAATGGCTATTTAATGTTAAAGAACCAAGTTCTAAACTAGTCAGATGGCGACTAAAACTATCTGAATTTGATTATGAAATCAAATACAAAAAAGAAACATTAAACATGAATGCAGACGCACTATCAAGAATTCCTGCAATACAACTTCATGCCATTCAAAAATCAGATCCAGATGCCAGATTAACATCTTCAGATGAAGAATTTCATAAAAAATTAGGATTAATGCTGAAAGATACACCATTATGTAATGATGAAATCATAGCAAAATACTTTACAGATTCTAGAGTATATCTTCCTAAACAAAGCAAGATAGCTAAAGAAAAAGAGATAACAATGTCTGAATCATCTCAATCAACAAAAACAGCATCAGAAAAAGAACCTGAAGAAGAACCTAAGAAAGTGAAACCCAAAATAAAGATATTATCACAACTAATAATACCTCCAAGAAAAGAGAAAAAAGGAATTCCCATAGAAATAGGAGAATCTTCGAAAACTCAGAAAAGTATCAGACAAATAACACCAACTAATCGTTCTTCAACAATTTCAGCCTTGTCTGAAAATGACCAAACAATACATACGTCTATGGAAAATCCAATATTAGGAGCTCCATATACTAAGAAACATGTAAATGTATTTGGAAATCAAATTATATTTCGATATTCCAATAATAACACAATTAGAAAAGAGATAATCAAACTATTTGGTAATAAAAAGAGAATAATATTCTTCTTACCAAATAATCCAACATCACAAATTACTAATTTAGTAAAGGAATACATGCCACCTGGTATTTATTGCCTTCATTTCCTAAATAAATCTTTAGAACCTATTGTGATACGAGCATTACAAGAATCGTTTAATTCGAATTCATTTACTTTGTACATCTCGGACTCTTTATTAGAAGACATCACAGAAGTTGATCTTCAACAAGAGAAAATTCAGCAATATCATGAGACTAAAACCTCTCATAGAGGAATCACTGAAAATATTGCAGCCTTAAAGAAAAGATTCTATTGGCCCAATATCGAGAAAGACGTACAGAATTATGTCAAAGTATGCGAGATATGCAATAAAACCAAGTATGAACGTCAACCATACAAAATCATATTCAAACCAACACCTATTGGTATGAAACCCTTTGAACATATTTATATTGACACGTATATAATCAATAACCAGAAATTTCTGACCATTATTGATAGCTTTTCAAAATTTGGTCAAGCCTCTCCTGTAAATACGAAAACAGCTGTTGAGATATCAGCACAGTTATTGAAATATTTTAGTGATCATGGAATACCTCAAAAAATCACATTATACAAAATTGAGTTTCATTACACAACTCCAAGAAACCCGAACTCGAATAGTCCAATCGAACGATTCCATTCGACACTACGTGAAAGTATAACGAGTTTAAAACTTCAAAACCCGAATAAGAGTATTATTGATCTAATGACAATCGCTATATTGAATTATAACAACAGTACTCATAGTACAATGAATCACACCCCTTTTCAAGTGATTAAAGGAGATTTGAATTATGCCATACCGATTGAACAAACGGAAAATAAACTAACAACTGACTATATAACAAGTTTGGCAGAATCCCTTGCAAATTTGAATAAAGAAATTCAAGAAAAGTTATTAGCGAAACAAACAAAGTCTTTAGAATCACGTAATAAAAATCGTGAACCTGAACCAGAATTACAAGATCCAATCTTTGTAAAACAATTTAATAGAGACAAGATAAGTCCGCGTTATGATAGCAAAACACAGAATCGCTTTGCTAAACAAAATGTTAAACGACAATAATTTATTTCAGGTACTCCGAGATGAATCCATTAGTATTCCTAACTCTCGTTGGAGTCACCCAAGCGTATACATTGATGACGATAGAAAATCCTATTTTACCAATCTCTTTAGGAACTACTTACGTAACAACTCAACATAACACGGCCTATTATCACATAAACACAACAATTATCATTCAAAGTATCCATAAACTGGAAATCACCTTAATGAAATTATCTGACACTCTTAACAAAACAACAATTTGTTGCACTGTTTCAAACAAATATTGAAAACAGTCATTCTCAAATTAAGATTATGAAACAAGTAATCAGAACCTATCAAGACCGAAAACGTAATAAAAGAGGTCTATTAAATTTCATGGGCACAGCAAAAAAATTGCTCTACGGAACCCTAGATGCTGAAGACGGCGCAAGATATGATTCTTATATCCAGACGCTTAATGATAATCAAAAGACTCTAAATGAAGATCTAAAAACACAAGCTCAAGTATTGAAACAAGTTACAAAAACATTTCACGATCAATTTTTAACTATTGAATCTAACCAAAAGGTTATCGCAGAAAAATTACAAAATATTTCCTTGGAAAACCAAAATTTCCACTCAATGTTAACCTTTAATCTAATATTGAACAACATCAATATTCAAAGTAATAAAATAAGGAATCTTATTGATCATGTGCAATTAGCAATAAATTTTGCACAATTGGGAATAATGCATTATACTATTTTACAGCATAATGAATTAAATCAAATATTAACAAATATACCCAAAAGTCAGCAAATACCTTTTGATAATAAAATCAAGTATTACGAGACAATGAAAACTCAAGTAAAAATCCAAAATGAGTTAATTATATTTGTTATACACACACCAATGATTGATCCCAAGCCCTTTATATTGTATAAAATCTATCCAATTCCTATCCAAGAACTTACCATTAGGAATAAGTACCCTTACCTATTACTTCCCAGTAAACACATCTGTGACATTCACATAAGGTTTATATAAATCCAAGATCATTTTTTTACCAGCATCAGTTTTATGTCAAGCTTACGTAAATACTATGTGAACTAAAGATTTGTAACTGTTAATATGTATTGTTTACCTAAAATATTTAATATACTGTTTACGTAACCAAAAGAAAGTAAATCTTACTTAAAATGTGTAACTTTAATTTTAAGTTATATTTGTTATGTAATATTTACATAATTTATTGACATAATCCATCAATCATCAAATTATCAATCATTTAATTATAACTGATATATAAATATGCAATTATTTTTTGAATATTATATTAAGAAATCAAATTTTTATACTACTGGTCCTGCTAGCGAGTATCAACTCCCAAACGACGAACGGTACAGAGTAATATGAGTGGCAACGCTGCAGAGTAATATGGGTGGCAACCATGTGGCAACGCTGCACAAAATTGACAAAAGTCACAAAAGTGTGGTTATGTCGTTCTCCGGTTCTTTTCTTTCTTGCCTTGGTAGAAAACGTTTGGGTGAGATTTTTCCGTTTTTTTCTGAGGGATAAGTGAGATTTTTGTGTGTGAACAATTTGAATAATTTAATTTAGATAATCACTAATAATCAGGTATGTATACATACATTTTCTTTCATCTAAATTGCTGAGATTATTTTATAGTCGTGATTCCTATATTTATCCGAGTATTTACCTATATATGATGATTCTGAATGTGCTGATTTCATTTATGTTATATGCCCGCTCTAAACCTCTGGAAGTCGGAATTAGGAAATAAAAGAATAAAAATTAAATTATCTTTTAACGTAGGCCACAGTAAACATTGCAAATGCATGCTAGTACTAGTAGCATGATATCATTGATATCTGATTTAAAGCACAATAATTATTGTTAACAACATAAACTTGAGGTTAGGTTAGAAAAAAAAGAAAATATTGTGTTATTTGAAATTGAAAAATCATAAATACCTACCTAACTTTGTTGATACATGCCCTCGATTACTGAACCTGAATTGAATAAGTATGAATTTACAAATTAGAACGATTTCGTAATACTTAGTTGAAAGTTGGTTATCGTGTTAAAATTTAAGTGTACCTAATTTTTAATACAGTTTAATTGGAGGTATAAATGGTTAAACCTACGAAAACGAATTTTAACTTTGGAAGTTATAGTTTATTAGTTTAATTCTTAGTTTTAATTTTGAGGCATAAAGCAGGCAATAGGTACTAAGGTACTACTGACTTCGAGATATTCAAAACCCAAATTAATTAAACAGCCCTCGAAACAGCCTATCAAATTTCAGGGAGCCAAAAATAACGGACTGGCCTTTAATCAATTGGTTAATTTATATTAGGCATTATTTTCAAACTGACTTCTATGGGCATTATCGAGGGCCTTATCTTAGAAATTGATAGATTCAAGATCTAGATTATTTCACTTGCTAGTAATGTTTTGGATTAAGCATCCACTGTTCATGGTTTAAAATTAGCGCGCGTAGTAGTAACACTACCGAGATTAACACCAATGAGTTCAGCCATGAAAAACACTCCAAAGACATATATTTTTCATTTTAATAGCCCAATCTGCCCAATACATTATTCAGTAGACCGTCTTAATAATACTAAAGCATTTATAAGTAAATACTATAAAATCTCGACTAAAATAATACCTATACCTACATTAAATTTTCAGTACCACCATGTGCACTTCAGTCATGACTTCAGTGTAGAGTGCAGAGCACCTGTTTATGGTAAAATCGCCTATACTATTTTGATCTTTTCTCCACTCTGGTTACCTCTTTATTCTATTGATATAACTAGGAAACTAGGTAAGTAGGTATCTAGTTTTAATTGTTTTTATATTTTGAAGAAATCATTTTAATTTAGTTTCTCAAACTTAAGATCAAATTAACTTTTTAAAACTACCCACCTACATATTTTCTTGTAGGTGTTGCACATTGTACCTACTTTCTTTGTACATTTAAATACTCATTGAAGTAGTTTTTCCAAAAATACATTTTTTAAAAATATTATAAAATGCCTCGAGATTTCGTGGATTTATCAGAAAGACAAAAAAAGAGGTAATTAAATCAAGAATTCCAGGAACAGAAAAATAAACTAATGCGAACCCCATCATGCTCAAATTCTAAACCACCATCTTCTTTTAATCTCTCATCTAATTTAAACCCAGCTCTTATTGTTTCTTTGTCGCCTGTGGAGCCGACAGTTGTGATACCTGAAGCTTCTTATACTGATCAAAATGATGACCAACTCCAATCATTCACTCTAGATTCAAATAGTCCCCCTTCATTTAATAATGTTAATCAAAATCTCATAAAGTCCCAAAGTCATTTTGATGAGAATGAATTCATTTGTCCTAATTTGTTTCACCAGTCATCCCTATCAAAAGACCTGCAAGAAAACTTTGTTAAGCATGGAGCTTCCCAAAGTTTAATTGCTGATATTCTCTCCACTTTACGAAAACATGGACATGAAGATTTACCAAAGGACGCAAGAACGTTTATGAGTACACCTAGATCAGGTACACATAATATATATCAATTAGATGGTGGCACGTATTTACATTTTGGCCTTACTGAAAATATAATTAGAGTTATAAAAAAGTATAATTATTATTCTGATGATATTTTAAAATTAAATATCAACATTGATGGTCTCCCAGTAGCAAAATCATCTCGGAGTCAACTTTGGCCAATATTGGGAGATGTTTTATTAAAAGGTATCCACACTGATCCTTTCACTATTGGGATTTTTCATGGTTCTAGTAAACCTAAGGATTGTAGGGAATTTTTAAAACATTTCATTGAAGAATACAGGGAATTGGAACTTAATGGACTTCTTATTAACAGCAAAAAAATTAAAATTAAACTTAATTGCATAATTTGTGATGCTCCTGCAAAAGCATTTGTGCTAAATATTTTGGGGCAAACTGGATACTTTTCATGCACAAAATGTGTAACTGAGGGTGATATGTTTGAGAATAAGGTTATTTTTGTTAGGACCAATGAAGCACTCAGAACAAATCAGTCATTTCGAAATAGGTTGCAACCTGAACACCATCACGGGCCATCAGTTTTTGAAGATTTAAATATAGATATGGTTACCCAGTTTGTAGCATTTTCATTTTCCTCTAATTTAAATTCATATAAAATGCTACAATTTTGGAACAAATAGTAAAACAATCAATTTTAGTTTTAAAAATGTTTATTAATTATAATTAAATAAATTAATGAATAAACAATATGTTTATCTTGGTAACTGTAAATTCTGGTTGGGAAATCTCTGGCATCAACTTCTGTTTTCTTATGGGTGTCTTCAAGAACCTAGAAAGAGAAAAAAAATAAATAAAAGAAAAATGAGACAAATCACCGATTACTTTTGTGATATAAAAACTTACCTGTATCTATCCCAAAACCAATTCAGATTCCGCTATTGTGGAGTTTCTCTTTGCTCACCCATTTTCAAATTTTTCTATTTTTTCATCAAAGTTAAATCCAACCCTGGTATTTGGTCTATTTTAAATTACGGCTGGCCTTGTCACCGTTCAGCGAATATTTTTGGGGGGATCTCCCACCGCCTTGAACTTGGTTCACGGTTGTAGCAGGGAGGCTTCGTTTTGGTACCAGTGGTCACGGAACCTTTGTCAAGAGCTTTGAAAACTCTAAAATCCGTCCGTATCGCCCTTTTGATTTTTATCAAGATTTGTAGAAGTTGGCGGAGACCACAAAATATTTTGTGAGCTCAGTAGATCCAGTTTCCAGATATATGGTTCTTGAGCGATTTTATGAGTTATTTGGGATGATTATTTCGCGTAAGTTGCACGTGCCTCGTGGTAAGAATTTAACATCTTCTAATGGTTTTTTATCTTTATAGATCCATTTTTGATTATCCAGTTAGCTTTCGATTGGCATTAAATTGCTGCTGATGTTCGCATTGGAATTTTCACTTCCTAATTTATTGGAGGGTCCTAATCAGAGTCCAAATCCAAATCCAAGTCCAAATTCAGATAAGTTCAGAGTCAAGCCCAAGGGGAAAATGTCTCCAAATTTTTCTAGGAAGATCCAACCCGTGCAATTACCAACTAGTCCGAGTTGTAGTTCAGGTCCACTTTGCGCCCATTTGATCTCTACTCTTACCAGAAAATATCCAGCTTCGAATTCGTCCAGAGCCCAATAAGCCAGATTTGGGACTTTATGGATGCATAGAAAATCTAACAGGTTTGCTAGAGATTAAGGCAGCTCAGTGAAAAACCAAATAAAAAAAAATATATGCTTTAACTTTCAAACATTTTCTTACATTTTTTTTTAGTTTTTGAAATAATGATTTATCTATATTAAGGTATAATGTGAATAGCCGATTTGGTATTTTTTTTATTTTATTTTTATTGCGTATATTATTCAGGTATTTTTGAGTAAGACCCCAAAACCCCGAAGATTCATGAATTTTCCCCAGGTTTTCCGTGATATAATTATTTAAGGTAATACAATTTAACCAAATAGTGCTATATATTCAACAATCCTGTTCGATATCAAAATTTATCTTTAACGTAAATTTTCATAACATTAATTACAATCTCATAACTTTAATTACAATTTCTATAACTTTAATTTTTACAAAGGTTTATATATTATACCGGTGTAATTGTACAGTGTACAGTGTGTTCCTTACTGTTGTCCAGGAAAATAAAGTTCCATTTTTTGGGGAGTACTGAGTATTTGTTTAGAGTATCTTTCTTATTTTCAGGTCACAGTTTCAGGTACTTTTCAAATTAAGTTTTTCTAATTTTTTTTTCTTAATTGACATTTCAACATTATTTAAAATGTAATAATTATGTAAGTAATCTCTCACTTAAAAAAATTAGTGGCGTCCAAATGGCAAGGTCAAAATCAAGCAAATATTATCTGAACCCATTTCCCAATGCCACTGATGAAAAGCTGCCGTGCTTATATGTTTAGTGGTTGTTTTCCGGAATCAGAAAAAATCAGGAAAATAATTGCTACAAGTTTCCTTTAGACTATATGCACCTGATATTATTGGGTGTAACAAAAAGAATTCTGACTTTATGGCTAAATGGAAATAAAGAAGTACGTCTGACCAAAACACAAATATCTAGATTGGAGGAATTATATGTTTCAACTAGGGGGTACATAATATCCGACTTCGCAAGAAAACCTCGAAGCTTTACTTCTTTGCCCATGTGGAAAGCTACTGAGTACAGATTATTTCTATTGTATGTTGGCCCCGTAATTATGAAAGATATTTTAAGTAAAAAAGCATACTCGCATTTTTTGGCTTTGGTAGTTGCAGTCAGACTTTTATGTGAAAAAAATATCACCCCAGAAAATATAGAATATTCAAAAGTATTAATGAGATATTATGTAAAGAAATTCGGTCATTTTTTTGGCTATGGCCAATACACGCATAACGTTCATAACCTTATCCATATAGTTGAAGATGCTCGTAATTTTGGTCCTTTGGATACATTCAGTGCATTCAAATTTGAAAATAAATTTACTAAATTTAAAAAAATGTTACAAAATTCTAGATTTCCACTGCAACAGTTATATAATCGCATTTCAGAAGAAATGGCAGTTGATGAACCAACTGAGCAAACTCAATATCCAAAAATTATTTTAAAAAAAAGTAAAATAGTTTGAGTTGAATTATCGTTTACTACATTTTCCCTCAAATTTAATGAAAACTGCTGCATGCTTGAAAACAATACAATAGTTCTAATTAATTCTTTTGTTAAAACTACTCAGGATGAACTTATATGTTCAGGTAAGTATTATATAGAGAATAAACCGTTTTTTACTGTTCCCTGTGATTCAACCATGCTAGGAATATCATTAGTCAATAATAGTCAATTGTCAAAAGAGTCAGTCTCTTTCAGTATTCATGATATTTCTAAGAAGTGTTTAAGGTTGCGTGTGAATGAGAGTGATATGGTTGTTATACCTCTTCTACACCATATGAACTAAAAACGTGTTGCAATTTTTTTGGGTGTCTGGTTATAATTTGACACCCTACCTACCGGGTTTTTTATAAGTTATATCCAAAAATGGTAAAAACAAAAGGTGTAGGGATTCTCCTAAAACGCCTGAAGTTCCTGTCATATTAAACAAATGAGCCTCTTTAAATAAAAAAAATTCAAAGTTAGGTATTTTTTTTTAAGGAACACCCTATTTTTTCAATAAAAATCTTGAAGTCCTAATTTTTCTGAAAACAACCATAACAAGAAATCCTGGCAGTTAAGGACAATCCCCACAACTTTTGTATATACCATTTTTTGATATAACTTAAAATAAACGCAGTAGGCGGAGTGTCAAATTATAGCAGACACCCTGTACCTGTTATGAAACTGAATGACCCAATACAAATGGGTATAATTCGGACTATAACAATAAGTAACTTTTTTTCTTGAAATACATACAAGTACTAGAAATGTAAATAGCTGCTAATATACCTTTAAAAATTAGTGTTTTATTGTAGGTTGATTAATTGCGTTGTATAACCAAAATTAGGATAATATATTTTCTCAATTATTGGGATTATTTTTAAGTGTTTTACTGCGAAATGATAATTTAGCTAGTTTTGTATATTTGTATGTCTTTTGCCATAGTTTAGTATATTTGTATGTCTTTTGCTATTTTCCAGAAAAAAAGTGCTGGGTACTTTTTTTGGGACTATTTATAGACTTATAGATTCAATTTGTTTGTTCTCCGTTGTAATTTGTTGTTTTTTTTGTTTGTTATCACTTGCGTGAGAGTGAAAATAAAAAAAGCCAATATTAGCTTTAAGATGGAGAAAAAATTTGCTGTCATTTATTTCCCTGCTGAAAATATTTATTCGGAAGTACCTACTTCCTGGCTGGCTCCAGATCGAAAGCACTGCTGGTGGCCAAATTCGATTAATGCAAAACCCTTCATGGTTCGAGGTGAACTACCAGATGAATCAGTTTGGGTGCTTCACGAGGTGAAGCTGGAAGCCTATGCATGTAAGTACCGAATGTGACAAGAAACTGGCTCCTATATCTTTTTTGTGTTTTGATAAAATCAAATAAAATTTGGTGAATAAGTAATATTTACATAAATATGTATTATTTGACAAATTCATTTGTTTTTTTTTATTTTATTTTATTTTTATTTTTTTGACACTTCTGGCTTGATCGGAAAGCACCCTAACTTTCTTATGGGACACCGGGTATATTTTTACTCATTTTGATAGAAAATGACATTCTAAGCTCAATGACATCTCATTTGTCACTTTTTGACCTAATAACAATTTGAATTTTCAATTTATAAGCTTTTCAAAAAGAATTCAATTGAAATATCGATTGTGTGGTATAAAGTTATTTGTAATCTCGTTTGTAATAAATTACTCTTTCCAGCTGTACTAATGATCCACCCTAGTTTCATTTGAAAAAAAAATGAGTTAAGGTCAAAAATATGATTTGACAAATTTACTTGTACAAAATTTTAAAGAGTAAAAATGTTCAAATCTCTTTTCCTCAGGCTGTATCACAAAATTAACTGTTTAAACCCATTCATGGCCTTCTAAATTGAAAATGTAATTTATTTCCAGGTTAAGTGTCATAAGGTGACAAATTACATATCATTGAACTCAGAATGTCATTTTCTATCGCAATAAGTAAAAATATACTCGGTGTCCCATTTGAAATAAGAAAGTTAGGGTGGTTTCGGTCAAAATCGAAGTGACAGAAAACAATTGAATATGTCAAGTAATACATAAATATGTAACACATTTATGAACCAAATTTCATTTGATTTTATAAAAACACAAAAAAGTTATAAGGGCGAGCCACTTTCTTGATTTTCTGAACTGATGTTTATTTCAATTTTAATAGCTACCTTGGAAACGGCACGAAAAAAAGCGGACAATCCAGATTTTCTTACTGGAGGGGAAGATTTGCTACTTCCGGAAAAACGATTTCGAAAGCCTAGGACTCTGAGCCCTGCTCTGAGCAATAATAGCAGCAGTTCTGAGACACCTATTACACCACCGCCTTCACCACTGAAACTAAAAAAAAACAAATCATCTAAAAAGAAAATAGATTCAATTAAGAAACTAGTTCTAAGTGAACCGTCGCAGCTTTCAGAAATCCATCAACCATTCAGACCCCTTGCCACATATGATGACAATGATGAGGATTTTGTCAAAATCGAATCCCTTCCAATTGTTTTTGAAGGCAATGATGGAATCGGGGCAAAGCAGAACACCGTCGAAGAGGCATCAAATTCTGCATGTGAAGGTAAATTTTAGTTATAATATACTACCAAATATTCCCAAAAAGTACCTTCATGTATCACATAACATGTTTTGACTTTTAGGAACTCAACTAGATGAATTTATGGCCACAATTAGTAAGTTAATAGATCAATTGACATTTATATTGCACTAGGTATTAGTAACTTAGAGTTTATTCTAGAAAATCTTACAATAACCTGCAATAATGTACAGAAATATGTGATCAGTATAGACAATAGATTGAAAGACATGACATCCAATCAGGGAAAGGTTCTGGTCGACGACGTTATAAAAAATCTGGAAAAAAACTTGCCTCTAAATTCTCAGGAGTCTGTACGGGCATTTGACACATTACTGAATACAAAAGCGGAAGTTAAGAATACCTTTGTAAGTATAAATCATATCTTCAAAATTAGTGTCAATCAGTAGATAAATAAATCTTAAGAAAGGATTGTTAAATTGTTTTGATTGAATTTTAATAAACCGTACATTATAAGTTGATTTTTTTTAGGCACAGTTTATTAAACGCATTGGAGGAAGAGATGCCAAGGATATTAATAGGTGTTTACCAAAATTATTTACAAATGAGTTTGCAAAAGAATCTTCATATTTGGGACTTAGGGGCAATTTTAAGTTGCAGCAATTCAATTTCATGCAGATTTTAATTGGTAAGTACGTAATGTTTTACTTAATTTTTTTTGTAATTACATATTAGAAATTCCCACACTTTTATTTATTTCAGTTTAATATGTCCTTTAAGGGCTATATTATTGTTTCGATTAACGGTAAGTTTTTTTTAGATGTTTTAGTTGTACAGCACTCAGCCACACTACAAAATGTGGAAAAATATATAGGAGAGTGGTTCCGTCTGGCCAACCAAAGACTGAAGAGATTAGAAAAAAAATAAATGTGTTTTTGAAATGATTAGAGTGCTAGTTTAGTCTCCGGCTTAGTTTTGATTTTTTTTGGAAATGATAATCTCATTCTCATATTCATAATTTGTCCACAACTTTACAGAATATTTCGTTTTATTTTATTTTTCATCAATTGTTCACATATTTACAGAATATTTATTTAATTTAAAGTTTTTTTCTGAGAAAAGATATTATTTTCATTATTGTGCAATGCACCCTAAAAATATGTCTGTACTTTCATATTTTAATCTGGTTTGGAAAATATATTATTTAAAATAATATATGCTGTTTAAGTGTCACCTTTCACCTTTTTCCCAACAAAAAAATGTGTATCAGCTATTTTACATTTTGCAAGTAACACTCATCAGACCAATAAACTCGGAATAAATAAATATATGTACTGGAATACCATATATCATTTGGATCAAAAAGTGCTTATAAATTGTATATTGTTATAATCTGTATTGATAACAATTCAAGACATGATATCCTATTTTCATTTTATATGCCCACCTTGAATCCAGATCATTTTTGATTCCTTGTAAAAATATATCTAGTAAGTACTCTCTGCCCAAGTTATGAACAACGGTTAGAAGAATGTAAGGAATTTAAGTTTATAGAAAACATAGTTTTCATGTAGACTCACTACAAAAAAATGGGGTGTTTAATAATTGTTAAACATTACCAATTATCAATATTATTATTATGTAATATTGACGTAAATAATGGATGTCAAAACTACGTTAATTATTAATTTAACAATGACGTAAATATTATGTCAAAATAAATAATATTTACGTTGAAAACTTACATAAAATGTATGTAATTTATTCAACCTACGGCATGGCAGATATCAATGTGATGTAAAATTGAGAGTGCAAAATTACGGCGTTATGCAGTGCATTTAAGTGAAATTTTACCTTCTTGTGACCTAGATAATACTCTAAATTTATATCACCAAGTAAAATAGTTCTATAAGTTCCTACATTGAAATTATGTAACTGTGTTTATTGGGTTACTACGGACATTTACTACAATACGTTATGGGAATGCCCGAAAGTCGAAAGTGTGTACCTTTGTAACCAAGAAGAGCTGAAGCAAGAAGAATCATGTGTCTACGACCTGATTATTGACCTACCACAACAATGTCGTTTCACTAAAGTGAAATATGAAAAACCAACAGTGAGACAACTCCCGAATGGACAACTATTAGTCATCCCTAAGAAAAGTCTGACTATAGTTATTCAATGTGACAAGACAAACCATATGGAAATAATAACTAATCCAACGCTAGTTTCTTTTGAGAAATGTTTTGTGAAAATCCAAAATCAAACATTTTCAAAAACCAGCGAGAACTTCAATTTTGAACTGAAGATTTCAAGAATAGACATCCCTGAACTTCCAGAGAACGCAACAACATTGGAACTTCAAGAAATCAACCAAGAAGACTTAGAAGAAGCCTTCAAGACGACGAAACAAATAAGAGTTCATAATCTGAAAGAATTGTATTTTGAACACTCTTATTTAAACACATATGTAATCATAGGTTTAAGTATTGCTATTTTATTTTTAATTTTACTGTTTTACTGTTTTAGGAAATATAAAACTTCAGAAAAAGGTTGTGCAAATGTGCAAATTGAATTGTCTGATTTGAATTCACATCAATCCACGTTTGCAACATCTTAAGGAGGGAGGAGTTATATTAACCAATTGCCATGCTGATTTATAATCAATTATCTATTTTTTATATGCTTTAATGTGCTTACCCCTTTCCTCTAGGACTTTTTAAATACATTGTTGTAAAGTAAACATCAAATTGCTATGTCGGCATTAAATGTTTATTTAAGCCGATGCCGTCCCATAAGGAACGTTCATTTGTTTTCTGGCTTTAGCCTGTAGCAATTTGATCCGAATATTTTCTTTTGTCACCTCTGTATTTTAATCAATAAAATAAATGTTTTTTAAAATACAAGTTTCTGAATCGAAAATATAATTTACATACCTATCGATCCAAACTTTTTAGTGAATAGCACGCAACGCACACCTTATTATTATACTATAGCTTGCGAATACCTAATTTTTTACCACTATTTTTTTCAGGTCGACTTTACAACATTCCGGAATATTGACGAATTTCTAAGAATGAGAAATATACCCGAAAGCATCATAACAAAGTTTGCCAGTGAAAATGTAAGCTTTTTGATTTGCAGTTATATAAGAACTAAAAACAAATGTCTATCATTCTTATCTAGGTATCTTGAGTTGTTATTCTATTGAGCATCATTTAATTATTGGCTATTAGGTACTCTATCACGGAAGAAGAAGGAAGCTAGGCCCTTCTCCTTCATAATAATAATTATCTTTGCCGGGACCTAGGAATATAGAATACAAGCGAGAATACAAGCATTCATATCACACGCAAAATTTAACTTTTACTGGTTACGAGATGCGAAATGAGACCAGACCAGTCACACCAATCAAAACATGCCTTTACCTATGGTAAAAAAAAAAAGGTTCAGTGCGGAATATTCCGGTTCCTACAACATAAAAAGGTTTTGGCTCGGGTTTTGGTACGTTTTAGTAACAAAAACGCATAATGCTCATATTTTTTTATCAATGGGCCACTTTCACATTTTTCAAAAACATATTTAAATTATTCTTTTAGTCATTCTAATACTATCTGTACACTTTAAAAAGAAACCCTATTTTTGAAAAAAAATAAAATAATAAAAGTCGAATTTTTAAACTTCAGCGTAAACGCGAAAACGTGACGTCACGCACGGTACACAAGATCAACAAAAATGCGAGGAAGCTAAATTTCTCATCATTCCAAAACATGATTGCGTCGAATTAAAATTCAAAAACATGCAGGGTGTTGCGGTGCTACATTGCTGAAAACATATGTATGTGGGTCATATTTCAGAAAGGCAATTATTGGTTCCATTAGTTTCATTGTGTTTCTTAGAAAGTGAACTGAGAACGTCAGAAAATTTCCCCCCTTGTTTTCTCTCTCTTGAAAATCAGAAACTACGGAGGGCTAATCTAATGCGAAACCCCTACACAAATTTTGCATTGAATTTTTTTTTTATTATTATTATGTTTTTTTTCAGATTGATACCGTGAGTATTTTACTGATGAGCGATGAGGAATTGTCTAAAGATATACCTAAACGTGGGGATAGAATTAGCTTGATGCATTTCTGTAAAACTTTTAACGGCTCCAAAAAAAAAAGTTTAATTAACTAACAGCAACCTTCCAAAATAGAAAAAATGGTAACTCGACGAAAAATAATAAAAGCGTACCCGCTAGAGCGGAAAACCCCAATAGAATTGTTGAAATCGGATGGTTATGTTTCAGCAAGGAAACAAAAAGGCTTCAGCAGGTACGTACAAAAAATGGAGGTGGAACTAGATGAGTACGAATTGCGAGAACCTCTACATGCAAGGCGGTATTGGACAAAGCTATAGAACTTTTTTTCCCCAATGGTATATCTACGAAAGGGGCAAAGGAACTATTTGACTTTGAACTAGTAGATTATAAATGTCACAATTTTGATCAGAACATGACAATACATGAAATGTACGTCTTAACTGGTATGACAACACTACGTTTTTATCTTTCGACGAACTACAAAACAATCTCACCAGCAACTTCGACTTCCATCGAGTATATTGATTTGAGCCCTAGTACTAGTACACAAATGCAAATGTGCAATTATATTGATGACGAAGACGACTTACCTTCTCAAAGATGGCAACGATATTCTCCGTTATTAGAAGTAGAAGAGGTAGAAGCTATTTCGGTAGGTCAGCGCCTACGTCGTTCAGAAAGATTGAATGCCTCCAACTACTTTTCATCATTCTCACCAGTTAATGTAAGTATTTGAATACCTACTTGAAGGCCGATTGCCACCTAGGGGTTTTGAGTCATGGGTGCTCAATTAGAGCTGAGCAGATTTTCACCCATGACTCAAAACCCTGGGTCAAAATCCGTAGGTGGGAATCGGCCCTAAGATTTTTAGCTTAACAACAGTAGCAAGCAAAAACATACAAGCATAAGCAACGAGTTAGTGAAGGGTTTCACTTATTTCGTGTGGTCCCATTGGTCACAGTTCACAGTCAATTGGTGAATCCTCACTTCACTAAACTTGGTGACTAATATATTATTATTAATAATGCCCAGAATCAGTTTTCAATATATGGTTTTCAACAACGAAACTCAACTGGAATGGTCTCAAAGTTAAAAAATGCTTTCTAACTCAAATATTTACCTAGTACCTAATGAAAATGGAGGTACTCCAAATTGGGACATATTGTATTTTGCTAATCGACTTTTTTAATTGTATTTTAGAAAAATGACACAGCTGATGATCCTACCGACGAACCACAGTCTGTCTCTGATGCCATTAACGATGTTATAAATGAATGGAGACATGATGATAATCTCGACGTGCCAGAACAAGGAACCGAGGTAAAGCAGTGAAAAGTTTTGAAAGATTATTTTCTGAATTTAAATTGGGTAGTAAAAATTATTTATTTTTGAGCTTCGATAATTCCCTGGTTTGTTTTTCTTGAAATAGCCGTAATTTTTTATTTCCCTTATACGAGAGTCAACAGGCCAAATTTCCAAGGAGGACGGGATGCGAAATAAAGTTGAACAGAGTATTATGTATTTTTTGAAGAAATTACTAATTACAAATGATGTCAACGGTTGTATAAGGGGTAGCCCACACTTAGTAAAATCAAAAATGGTATAGATGTTAATAAAAAATCCCAGAACTCAATTGGATATTTGATACTGTCTAATCTTGAGAAGTATTCAAAATTAGCCATAAGAGAAATTTATAGGATTTAGTTAAAAAACCATAAAGTGGACCAGTTTGATTATATTGACCTGCATTGACGCAACCATGTAATACAAACAATAATCCAATATTGTTATTAATTAACTAGCAAGTTTTAAAATACCAACCTAATTGCAGCAATCTGCAAAATCATCATCATTCCAAATTACTTTTATTTTATTAATAATTTTTGTGTATAAATATCGGCTCATTTCAAATAATAAATTAGTATCAAACCTTTACTGGTGTATTACTCACTTACCAGAAAACCCTAAGCCTATACCCAGAGTGTGAGGCTGCACTCTACCTAAAGACGAAAACCCTTCACAGTCGTCACCTCTACAGGGCACTGTGAAAATACCGACACCAAGGTTCTCCCATATCAAAAGGGAAATCTTTCATTCGTCCTTCGAGCAAAAGAAGAAGAAGATAAAGGTTGAAAACCAGACCTTCCCAACAGTCCCCCCCTCATTCCTACTCCTCAAATTACCCATACACTCGCGCCCTTCGGGGTTAACGTTTAGACACCGGTCTAAACAACCATCCAAAAATACCTTTCTTTCCTTGCTGTAGCAAGTGCTTTGTCTGGCTACAGCATCCCGACTGATTAGGATTCTCTCAAGCCTGCGCGGTGCCCAAGCAAGCCCTTGGGTGGGAGTGGTTCTTTTCAGTCAATCCCTAGTATAGCAAGTGCTTTGTCTGGCTATACACTCATTCCTACACTCAATTATACACACTTTCGCGCCCTTCGGGGTTAACGCTTAGATACCGGTCTAAGCATCCAAACCTCAAAACCTCCACTGTCCTATACCTATAAGGTCCTTCCAAACCTCAAAACCTCCACTGTCCTATACCTATAAGGTCCTTCCAAACCTCAAAAAAAAAACAGAAAACCTTCGATCGCCACCGACGGATCACGTGCACCAGCCACCGCCGTCCATTCTCAACTTCAAAAGAACTTCAATAATATTACACTCCAACGTAATTTCCAAGTCACATCGAGCAGACAAACCATCATCAGTAGTGGATCAAGTCAACCAGTCGGTCAAGTGCATCAGTCACCGCCGTCCAACAACAAGTGAAAAAACACAACTTCACCCAAATTCAGAAAAATGCCTACCATAGGTGAAGAGATGGACCGTCTTGCGCTGGAACAACAACAACACGGGCGAGACCTACAACGTATTCTCACGAATATGAAAAAAGATGCCACAAGCCGAAAAACAATCCAATACTTCGAAGGAAAAATCAAATCAGTGGAATCATTATGGACCACAATCTATGAGAATGACAAGAAGATCAACGAATTGAGTTGCCCCACCCACAATTACCATACCACGAACTACATTGAACAACTCAAGGAGGTCTACACTGACACAGTGGATTACATAGAAGACGGTATAAAAAAGGCCGAAGCCCGAACAAAACAAAACGAGATGTCATCAAAACTAACAGCACTGCTTAACCAGATGGAAGAATTCCTCAACGACACTATTGCAGAAATAGATGATCGCACCCCAACCAATCGCCGTCACCAGCTCCAATACAAAATAATCGAGAAATGGAGACAGATTTCGGACCTGTACCTACAACTCGAAATTCAATCGGTCCATACACCTTACAAAATCGCATATAAAGCACTTGAGAAACAACACGAGCAGATACTCCTACAGCTACAGCCGAATGAATATACAACCAATCATCCAAACACTCCAGCATTGCCACAAGCCATGCCCACTGTCATTATCCAACAACCAAGGTCAAACAACATATCGCTGCCTCAAGTGAAGCTGCCAATGTTTGACGGATTATATGAAGAATGGGCCACCTTCAGGGACATTTTCACGAAAATTGTTCATGAGAATAATGACCTCACCGACATCGAAAAGATGAAATATCTGAAGACTCACGTACGAGGTGAAGCCAGTAGAGTCATTCAACATCTACAGATAAACAGTGACAACTACAGTACAAGCTGGAACATTCTCGAGAGAAGATACTACAACGAGAGACTAATCATCAACAAGCTGATTGATAAGATATTGGAAGCACCATCAATCACTCACGAATCAGCATACAAGCTGAAGCAACTACATGACGCAATGATAGAATGTGTCGAAGCGCTCAACAACATGAAGGTAGACACCAAATCATGGGGACCATTAATCTCAAGACTAATCTGCCGCAAATGGGACTCCGAGACAAATCGATTATTCGAGCAATCGTTGCGAGAGCCAAACAAAATGCATCAGCTAGACGACGTACTCAAATTTCTGCAAACAAGATTTCAATCCCTTGAAGCTTGCGTACAAGGTAAAAAGAAGTCCAGCGAGCAAACCCACAGCACAACTGAAAACTGCGGATACTGCAACGAGTCTAACCACAGCATCTACAACTGTCAGAAGTTCCAAGCACTAACTCCAGCTGCAAGACTTAAAGTCATCAAGGAGAAGAAGATCTGCATAAATTGCCTGAGACACCCAGCGCACATAAGATGTAATTCAACCGTCGTATGTCACACCTGCAAGAAATTCCACCATACAATGGTACATGTAGACTTTAACGAACAGAGTAACCAAAACGGACCCAGAAGCTTCCAGCAACCAAACAACAGACACGGCCAAACAAATCAACACCACCGCAGAGACACAAGGCAAGTCTCAACCAATCACCTCGGAAGACACGAGATGGTCCTATTGGCAACAGCAGTTGTCAAAGCCCAAAATAATCAAGGGATAATTGAGCATTTACGTGTGCTAATAGATCCAGGCTCCCAATCCACGTTCATAACTGAAGAAGCTGCCTCATTACTATCCATACCACGTCAGCGCATAAGAGCCGACGTATCCGGACTTGGAAGCGCAGAACCTCAAGTCGCAAAATGGATGGTGAAAATAAACGTCAAGCCAAGATTCCCAAGCAACTTCTCAATGGAGATTCCTTGTATTGTTCTACCCAAATTAACAAGGACGCTACCAAGTGAAGAAATCACCGTAAACATCGACAAATGGAAAAACGACTTACTTGCTGACCCTTCGTTCCACCGACCAGGGCCAATCGACATCATTTTGGGGGCAAAAGAATATGGAGAGATAATCCAGACGGGCATTCGAAAAACAAAAGATGGATTACTCGGACAGCACACCGAATTTGGGTGGATTCTATCCGGAAACATTCTACGACATGAGAGAAAAAATATGCAAGTTGTCAGTCTAATAACTTGCATTGAAGAAGATCAGCAGTTAGCGAAATTTTGGGAACTAGAAGAAGTAGCCCAAAGCAGGCCAACCACGGAAGAAGATGAATTCTGCGAAAAACATTATCAACTCAACACGAGAAGAAACAGCGACGGTACATACACAGTCAAGATTCCATTTAACGATAAACTAGAACAGCTAGGGATCTCAAGATCACATGCAGCCGCACGACTACTACAGCTAGAGAAGCGATTTTCAAGAGATCCTAAGCTCGAAGAAAAATACGCTCAATTCATGGAAGAATACCTGAAGCTCAATCATATGAGAATATGCCCGCAACCAAACAATAGCCCATACTACATTCCTCACCAGCCTGTAATAAAAGACTCCAGCACGACAACAAAACTGAGAGTAGTATTCGATGCCTCTAGCAAAACTTCAAGTGGTATCAGTCTCAATGATGCAATGTACTCAGGCCCGAAACTTCAGCAAGAATTGCCAGACATATTACTTCGTTGGAAGACACATAAAATTGTATTAGCAGCAGATGTCGAGAAAATGTATCGGCAAATTAAAATTCACCCAGATGACCAAAAATACCAAACAATTCTATGGAGATTTGGAACAAATGAAGCCATACAAGAATACACGCTAACGACAGTCACATATGGAACCACCTCAGCTCCATACTTGGCCATTAGAACCTTACAGCAACTGGCAGAAGATGAAAAAGACAATTTCCCACTAGCATCTAAAGTGACCAAACAGGATTTCTACGTCGACGATCTGCTTTCCAGGGCAGATACGCTCGAAGAAGCCATCAATCTTCAGACAGAACTCATAGGCATGTTCAAAGCTGGAGGATTCATCCTGCGTAAATGGTCCAGCAACCATATACAAATCCTCAATTCTTTGAATAAAGAACTGAGAGAACAATCCCTACAAGAAATCACTGAAGACGGCACACGAAAATCCTTGGGAATCCATTGGGCACCATACGATGACACCTTCAGATTCAAAACGCAAGTCAACATGGAACAAAAAATTACCAAACGCATTATTCTCTCCGAAGTTGCGAAGCTGTTCGATCCGTTAGGATGGTTAGCTCCAGTAGTCATTAAGGCTAAGCTCTTAATTCAAGATCTATGGCTACAAAATTTAAAATGGGATGACTCGATTCCGGCTAACATCCAGACAAAATGGAGGTCTTTCCAAGATGAACTAAAAGCGGTGGAAGACATTTTGCTTCCCCGATGGACCAACCAAACGACAAACAGTCAGAAGGAACTACATGGTTTTTGCGACGCCTCTGAAAGAGCGTACGGCGCTGTCATCTATCTCAAAGTTAAGAGCAAGGAAGGTCCAGCCAAAATATCACTTCTCACAGCCAAATCGAAAGTTGCTCCCACAAAAACAAGAACTACACTCCC